TCTAGGCTTTATCCAACGCTATTTAATCTAATATCAAATAACCTTTTCTGTAAACTCATAATCATAATGGTCATTGCATTCTCAAAATACAAATAATTGGGCCATTTAAAAAATGTTTCTAACACGATTTCCTAAGTTCTCTGCTATCAAACAATCAAATAATACAGCGAAGATCCAGATAGGTTATATCAATAGCATTTAACATAAAATTAAATTAACGCTCATTTTTGGAGAAAAAATAGTTTCTCCCAACCTAAGGGATCACTAAACTCAATTAAATTGACGTTAATTTTTTTATGTTTGGCAAAAGTAGTTAGTTGCTCCCTCCCTAAGGCTGCCAACTTATACATGTTTCGATAATTGAAGGGATCGGTTTATGTTTTTTTTAATGTACACATAAATAAGCGAACCTAATGCATATGCGTTTCATTTTTATTATTATAACATGATAACAATAACCGTTATTCCCCGTTGCTATTTTAAAGTTTAATTACATATAATTTAAAAAGTAAAGTAATTTCTGTCATACTAGGCTTCACATTCAACTAACAGTCCTGCGTAATATTCACATATCTTTCACATTTTTACATATTAATCTGACTAAATTCCATGAGCTATGCATTCAAACGCAAAACCGCTAGCAAAGTCGGAGGCCCTAACCACTCGGCCACCGCTGGATGACTCATACTATTTGAATTTCACTTTATCAAAGGAATTTATTTAATTAATTACAAAATAATTCAAAATTAAATTTTTTATTATATTAAAAAGATTAAGACTATTGTCGCTGTTGTCTTGTAAAAATCAGCATGTTGATTGTCTAGATACCGTATCATCCTAAGTCTGCTCTTTTACTTTTTGTGATTGCAGAAGACCGAATTTTGGGATTCCACGCTAAATTTTGAATTCTATTGAAACTTTTAAATAGGCATGTTGTGAGTCTATCGAGACAATATTGTGAATCATCAAGTCCCGTATTTCATTCGCAAGTTCTTCGTCATCTTCAAATTAGTTGAAATTTTTTTATGCGAATAATTTTTAACAGATTAAAAAAAATTTCGTTAAGTTTTACAATGATATATTTTTATTCTGATGGTATGAGCCCCGCAGAACTTTCTTTTCGCTCAATCTCGTTGATCCCTTTCTTGCAAAGTACAGGCCGTATACATTTGATTTATTTCTGCTCAATAACCACATTTCACTAAGTACCAGGGTAATTTGAGAAGATCAACAACTTGTAGCATAGCTGGTCCAATTTCAAAACTTGCGAGCTCATAACTAAGAAGTGACCACAAACTGATTTCTGTTGGATTCTTCAAGTCGGGTACCGGTTTGAAGACCGTGTATCGAAATAGCTCTTCAATTTCACTTTACTTAGCTTTGCATTTCCTTTTATATCTGGACAAGGCAGCTTTTTCAACATTTTCTCATGCAGCTGGAATAAATTGACAACCTTTTACTTGCAAAGGCTTGAGGAAGCTGTTATCTTTGTTAATATCGGCTACACACTATTTAAATTACATTCAATTAAAGATTTAAATTTATCGCCGGCGGGTCATCTGACGGTTGAAAAACTGGTATATCATTATTGATCATATGCGGGTACACCTATGCTGGCTTTGGACACTTCAATAAGTTAGAATAAACCGATCTGGAATTTATTTACGAGATCTCACAAAAAATTACATTTGTGTTTAAGTTTTTGTTAGTGTGGGCCGCTGGTTGTTTAAGCTGTAAGATAAGCTGAATTTAAACAATAAAAACAGTAAAATATACTGAAATAAGTTAAAATCGACTAACCGATTGAGAAATGAGAGCGTTGATGGTATGAATCGTAGAGAATGCCCATAATTATTTCCGGGACAATGGGAAAGTGAAGCATGGACGCGTATGGCGGTATGGCGAAAAACCCGCGACGAATTCCAATGATGAATGGGCATTTTATAGGCCAGAAACAGGGTTCGTTGATAACAGGAAAACTTGGTCAGACCATTGTCTCATTTATTGCAAGCTTGCGTAAACCCCGCCTGAAGTCCTGTAAAGAGCTTTTTCAATATAGCATTTGAACCGTTTCATAAGGGACACCTTTGTCCCGCAGAAGAAAGCCAACTAACAATACCTTTAAGAATGCTTAATTGTACATATTTATTTTCAATTAAGAAACGATCGTTTGACCAGGTTTCTTGAGACGAAAGGGGTTTACAGCCAGTATCAGGCGGGATTTCTTAGTCATCGTTCTGCAGTTGATCATGCTTGCCTCCCCGAGAGTGATATTCAGAATTCGTTTCTGAATAGAAAGCAAGCTATGGCCGTGTCCTTTGACGTCAAGAAGGCGTTTGATACGATCTGGTGATATGCGATACTTTCGAAATTTCGGGCATCGGAATCAGAGGTAAATTACTCGAGGCTTTCCAGAGGAAGCGAAGGTTCCATGTCGTGTCAGATTGGGGGCTCTCCTGGGACTTCGTTCAAGAGAAGGGATGGTTAGGGAGAAGGAGTCCCTCAGGGTTCAGTGATAAGAGTTAAACCTTTCTCGATCGCAGTGAGAGGTATCGCGGACTATGTCTCCAGACCAATCATATGATTGCTGTACGTCGACGACCTTCAATTAGGAAATAGTGAAATTTCAAACTTTTATAATGAACGAACCCTTGGAAAGCCTCTTCAAAGTAAAAAACTGTTGAAAGTATTTCATTTTATACAGCAAACTAAGAGAAAAATATTTTTTTCGCTTCATAGGGGTCACTTTAGCGATTGGACGATTACCCTGTTTTCGGAAACCCCGGCCCAAATTTAATTAATTTAAATTACAGCATCAACGGAGAAATCCCAGAACAATCAAGACTTACAATATAGGAAATATATAATATAAATGGTGGTATATTAAACTTATAACAACAATAATTTTTTTTATTTCAACTAAAAACCTTAATTAATTGAAAGATATTAATTGGTCAAGCGGACCACGGAAACTAGTGAATTTAATAAAAATAATTTTAAACTTTGTTCAATGTCCAAGCAGTTTTATTAGATATTATCAAACAGAATTTTGCCCGGACTTCATATTCATTTATGTACAATTAACATTTAAAATTAAAGTAAATTACACGGCCGTCGTGATATAAATCGATAGGTTACATCATCGTTTTTGCCGGCAGTTCAGTCATGTTAGGGGTTGATCTCATGGCAAGAACGTGCCTCTGATGATCTCATTGGGACGCCCATTGGACGATGGATAAAACGGCCAGTGAATTTATCTTGATCGATCAATCCGATGGGGAAGCATGCGTAATTCGATATGGTAAAAAATAAAAACGTTAATCTAAAATGCCAGTAATAATAGAACTAACCTTGTTGTAATTCATGACTATGTTGTACTATGTACATGTATGTTGTAAATCAAACTGCGATTTAAAAGAATTTACGGTGTGTCTTTGATAAGTGGATAAGTCTTATTATAAATTAATATTTAAATTTATAGGTTTAGGAGGAAAAATTATTGTTTTTGTAAATAATGAAGTGCGGTATAAACATTTAAAATTGTTCAAGTATTTATTAGTGGATCCTTCTCTTATTTTAAGATCTGGCAATTAAACGGACAAATTATTATCTAAATGGCTAAGGGCAAAATAGAACTCGTAATAAATTTTCGAATTGCATTTCAACATTTTCGGATCCCGCCGTTCATGAGATACTCTCGCGTGCGTGACGGCAAAGTTTTCTGGTTTGTCTCGCCCCAGTTTCACCAACGAAGCCCGACAGATAAGTCCGTAACTCGGTTTTAAATAACGGCTTAAAACTGAGATTATTGACCAAATTGGGCCAAAGGGGAGATTAAATCGGCGTATCTTAACGATTTGCTTGCACATTAACGTACGGATATTTCTTTTATTTTTTAATACTGAATTATCTCTTCTAATCTAATATTCAATTATGAACTTTTAATCCAAAACGTATTTAAAATAAAATAACTTACACAATTATAAAAAATAAGTACCGCAATGGGGTGTCAAAATTAAATAAAATATAAACAATATCTTACATTAATCTTGGATTTTAAATAATACACTTTTTGGACTCATGTTGGTACTAAGGAAACATTAAAGGAATAAATATTACTTACAGGGCGATTAAAAGAAAACATCCTTGAGATCATATTCCACTAGATTACATAGATAAAATTAAATTAAGTGAAAGCAACATTAGAAATTATCATGCTGAAATGTTAGGAACTTAAACTGATTCATACTTGAAATGTATACAAATATTAAAATGATATTAAAATGTACACTTTACTCGATAGTTTTCTTTAAATTTAATCTATCATCTTTCACTTTAACTTACCAAGAAGCGGCTATTTACTTTAAACGTTTTCCCTCAAGTGCCAAGTTTTGATTAGTTTTAGTTCATCGACAATGTCATAGTTAATATTGAACTTTCTGACGCTTATAAGTAATTATTTTAAGTTTTGTACTATTGAAGAAGGTGTGTAGGATCATGTAAGATGAGGTGAACGGGTGTGTAGTCCTCGCCAATCTTCTTTTCTGTACTCAGCAGTGCAGCATCTAAACCCTCAACATAACCAAGACCCTGGATAATATGAATTAGATATTACTACGATAACTGCTAGGTCCGTCCGAACCTTTTCTATCGGCAGCTGGCGGATATCTCTCTCTTGATTTGAAATTAAAAGAAAATTAAATTGAAAATAAATTCTAAGTCGAAGTAAGGAATGCTAACACTTCGTATTTTTCGCACGGAAGCAAATACGTTACTCGTGACGCATCAGAGCAAGTCACGACGGAAGCAAGCTATGGACGTAAACCCTTATCAGCCCGTTTAGGGATTAGGGCGCAAGGGATAGTGGCAGCATTTCAACGGAAACACGAATCCTTTCGCCAGTTACTTTGGCGTAAACAATTTAATAAAATTAATATGTTAAATATGCTAATTAAAAAAAAATAGGAACAATCACAATTAGTATCTACGAATTGACTCACCTAATGGCAATTACGCTCTGTTGGACGGCTTCCACGCTGATGCAGACAATGTTGGCGTTCCGTGAAAGTTTAAACGGGCCCAATTCCTGACTTTGTGCTTTGTACGGTCCTAAAGAGATAACGTCCATTACCAACTTGTAGCTGGGTTGTAACCGGCCCCGACTCCAGCCTGAACTTGTTACTCCCGCTGGGCGTCCAGTGCGCATTCGTCTACGGCGCGACTCTTGATAACACCACTGCCAATTGTGACTGCACTCTAGTTCCCTCTTGATTAGTGAAGCGGTCGGTTCTCGCGGGTATAATGTTTTGTTTGTCCAAAAAGAAAAACGGTGAGTTGGCATTTGTTTGTTTAGTATAGTAACGCTGTTCGTAACGGTCACTGAGCCTGACCGGAATAAATATTGGTTGGAATTTTTTTTCTTTATATTTTCTCTATTTTCAGTATTTTTCTTCAGTATGTATTGAATCGTAAAGCCCAACGTCATTAATAATGTACTAGTTTACCTTTGAAATGACAACTTCAAAAAAGAAGATATGATATAAACATCTTGTTGGAAAGTTTTGACAAATCCAAAATGTAAGGGCACTTCTTAAATACATTTTGATAATAACTACGCAAAGAATAGATATTTAATTTTACAAGGTTGTAGTTGAAATGGGTTAACTTTTAATATATCAGTGTTTCAGTAGTTCAGTAGTTTTCCAGTCCAAATTGCAAGACACATCCTATATAAATTTGATAAGAATTACGTAATTTTTAAACTCAAATTTATAGGTGGTAATAGACATGGTTTAATCGTAGTAGTTCTCTGTTTTACTAGGTTATCAGTTTCATTTGAACGTAAGAACGTTTCACGTCCAAAATTCAATGTACAACTTATAAAAATATTGATGATAAAGATATAAATTCTTTCAGATTTAAGGATGGTAGCAGACGTGGTATAAAACTAGTTTATCACTGTTGTACTGTATCACTTTAATTTGAATTGGTCCTTAAAAAATAGTATTTATGGAGGTTTTTATTATATTTAGACTAGTCCACGTTATGTGGGGGGTAATTAAAGGGGTATAACTTTTAGTTACTCATTGTTTGATAAGGTTGTCGTTTTCTTTTTACTTGTTCAAAAAAATTTTATTCTTTCTGCTATATTTTATAGCTAATATTTTGACAAATCCAAAACGCGAGGGATATCTTACATTATGTTTGATAATAACTACTAAAAAAATTACGTTTAGAAATATAGTAATCAGTAATCTTTAACTACAAAAATAATACATTTTTATCAAATTTTAACATGTAAATCACATCACTATTCCGGTAGGTTGTCATTTTCTTTGAACTTAGATTTAAAAATAGTGTTGATTTTTTTCTTATAATATTTTGAAAAATCCAAAAAGCAAGGGCATCTTAACTTAATTTTGATAGCAACTACGTAGTGCACCATTAAGTTACCATTTCTTTGGATTTGTTTGTTTTAAAAATAAATATAGGCTGAGTCAACTTACAGCTTAGGTTGGATTTGGTTAGAAAAAATAAAGTAAAATAAATAACATTTTGCAGAACCAGGATTATTCTTGTCATATTTCTTACATTAACTTTGGCCTTTGTTGTTAAAAACTTTGATATTGAACATCAAATTGAGACAAATACAACATACAAAACATGTATGAACATTGCAAACGACTATGTTAATAATGAATTAAATATAATGAAAATAACTGACGGGTTTAACGCCGAATGCATCAAGTATTTACTAGGTTGCCATTTTCTGTGGACTTGTTATAAAAAATCTATTTATCGATTAAGTTTTGATCAATCCAAATTGCAAAGCACTTCCTTAAATTTGAGAATAATACGAAAGGAATATAATTTTTCAAATTATATGTTATATATTCGTAGTTTGTAGGGCTTACAATGCATCACTATCAAACTTTCAAATCTTTATTGAATTTACAATTTCGTTAAAAAGTAACATTACAATAAATTTAAATTATACTTGAGCGGGGGGTCGTTGAATCTCACTGGTATTGCAAGTACTGGGTTCCATACTAGAAGTTTTGTTTCAGTAATAGCCTTTTAGTAGGAAATGTAAATTGAATATTTTTCCACCCGAGAACTAAAAATTCCTTAATTCGAATATTTTTGTTTTGTTTGTCCTCTTTTAAAATATGTATGACGAAACGACAGATTTGGGATCATGATATTTGTGAATCTGTAGTTTGGTATTTTCTGACCATCCTGGTCGGGGTACACTGTTTTGGTCTGTCGGAATCGTTTCATTTCACCATCTTCAGTTGGGAGAGGCAAAATGAAATTATTATATTCGTTTAAGTTAATATAAATAAGAATAGAGCTTTCAAACCAACTCCCTCCGGTAAAAAATTCACCTGCTAATATTGTGACACCTGTGAAGTGATCTGCAAGCTGATAAACGTGACGCTTGATCAACTCCTATAGGCATGTAGGCGAAAGTAGATATAAAGGTAATAAAATAGGTTAGCTTAACTACCCGTTGGGTATCAAGAACGAGTGGTCAGAATTAATTTTTCCAAATTATTCTCAAATAAAAGTCCAAAGGTTGTGTCGGGATTCGAACCAAGGATTGCTAAGTGTAAATTTTAAATGATATGATAGTGGTAAGTTATGTAAAGCATTAATTATATCGCCCTTGCGAAAACTATACCTACAACGATTGATTTTTACGTAAATATTTTGGTAAAATTGTAAATAAAAATTTTTAACAAACCTGATTATCGCATTTGAGCGTTTATCAAAACTATGGCAATTTTTTGTTGTTGTTTGACCTTCTTAATTAGATCGCAGCTTGAGATGGTTCTTAAGATATTGTTATAATGGATTCATGTGTTTCATCTTATCTCTATTTACATTGGATTTACGACCTCGACTATTTTTTCGTTTCTTATTACTTGCTGTCGTTTTCTCTCTCACTCTATCACTCCCTCAATTTTTCCAACCGAAGATAAAAGCAGTTTTATTGATTTCTCAATTGAAAAATTCAACCATTACGTTTCACCAAGCACGTACGCAATCCAGAAAATATTTTCAGGGACAATTGTTATTAATTAATACATACATTAAAATTAATTACATATTTTTTTTATAAATTGTTTGGTTTATACAATGTTTATTATTATATAAGCTTATTTAATAACTTTCCATTCAGGAAGCTGAGGCTTGATTTCACTTGATTTAAAAAACATTATTTTGCTTCCTTTTCTGTCGTCGATTACAGGAGTGAAATTCATTGTTTAAGTTTTCAATTAATCATTTGTATTAAACATTCACACTTAATTTGCTTTCACTTAGCGTTTCTTGATTGACAGCGAATTTTTAACTTTTTAATTCAACCCCCTCGGAGTTTTACTTCTGTTTTTAGAGCCTATCTTATATTTATTGCTGCTACGTTTCAACTGCGTCCAAACTTATTATGAACTTAGTTTTCCGACTAATTCAGCGAGTATTTTCCTCTGATGTTTTCATTACAATTAAACTTGTTGAGGTACAACGGTTTTACCGTGTTCAACGTTAATGGGGTTTAATCAGTAATCCTCATCCACATCAGAATTTGGATTAAATTTTTATGTTAACTTTTTAAATTCGTCTCATTCTAAAATTTGGCGTACTTTTCCAAAGTATAAAAGACAGTGCCAAAAACAATACCACAAATTTATATAGAAAAACAACTAGAAAATGTAACACTTACTTTTTCGGAGTTTTTGGTATTTTAGATGTTTCACTAATATCTAGAAGTTTGTTTTACATTTTAGGTACAATTTCTGAAGCGATAAGTATCTGAGATATATTTGAAATATGTAGTCGAATGCATCAAAACTCCAACTCGCAACTTCAACCGGTAGGTGAAAATCTAAAAACCGGTTAAAACACTTACTTTTTCGAATTTTTTGTGTGGTATTTTTGATGTTTCACTACTTTCAAAATGTATTTTTACATGTTTGGTACAATTTCTTCGCGTTAATTGCTTGTGTCGGTTCGAACGGCTGAATGCTCTGTGCATATAATTTGAGAAAACTGTTAAATCTTGAAGAAATTTGCTTTACGAGTTCCTTTTGTATAAAAGGCGTATAAAAGAAAGTGCCAAAAATGAGGCCACAAATTTATATAGAAAAAGAAACAATTTCATTTCGAAATATATTTGATCAGTGACAGCTGTCCTTCCAATAATTTTGAACAAAGGATTATTGCTCTTCACCTGTCAGTTTTATTGCTTAAGTGACTCTACTTGTAACAGCTATCTAATGATAAAAATCGAGAAAAAAATTATAAACTTATTGTTATTGTGTCTTAGCACGTATAGGAAAACATTTAGGTCGCTGCCTTCGTCAAGATTTGGATAACAAAAAAAAAGGTCGATTTATTGGTCCTCACACAGTTATATTTTTCCGATCTGGCATCCTTTTGGAGAGATAGCGGGTCAGGCCTGTTACAACATGCCTATCGCCAGGTTCGGTTTCATCCCTCGATGTGGAAATAGCTTTTCTCCGTGATGGATTGTCCTGTCACAATTCCTTACAAACCTTGCTCCTGGCCAATTTGTTCCTTCAAAGTAAACATAGTACCGGCTGAGTGAATTTGTGGCTGGGATACATCAATTTTGTATTCTGTCTTGTACACCAACATATCACATCGAAGGAAGTATGTTATTAATTTAATTATTCAATTTTGTCGAGTTTTGATGATGAATGGAGAGAAAACAAATTTGTCATTACTAAATTAAGCTCATACTTTCAGCAGAAAGAACATCATACATAATTTTCATCATTTAAAATACTACAAATTTCAAGGAACAATACCGACGATCAAACCGTAATAAACAAAAAGCCAGGACTTAATCCGTCAAAGAAGCCGACAAAGATAACCCAGGCTCATATTTCTCAACGAACGTATAAAATGGACTCGAATAAATATACCAACCACTGCAGATGGTGGTTTTATAAAAACCTAGGTTTTAGAAAAACATTTTCTTTATCGTGCCAACGTTTCGATCTTTATTAATCATCTTCAGGGCTCACAGTGTTTGTTTTCGGTGTAGATGTGCCATTCTTGTCTGTCGTGTTGAGAGTGCCCAAAACAATACAGATTCATCATCCCGCACATCTACGCTTAAAATTTAATTTCATAGTTTCATATCGTTTCATGACGTACAAATATGACGAAAAATTTC